TAATTTTTAAGCTACCATGGTAATGATTTTATTGTGAAAATAACAATGTAAGATACTATTTAGATAACATTTTCATATTAAGGGTTTGCTTAGAATGTTCTATTGCGATCTTATATACTTAAAAATATTCCTTAAATATATTTGAAAGAAATTGATGAATATTTAACAATAACTAAAAAAATTAATTAATTTTTAATACATATTAATTATACCAATGTTTAGATAATTATTTACCAATAATATAAGTTTTGCTAAGTAAGTTGTACAATAACGATCCTAATTAAAACATAATATCAATAAATTTCAGTTTGATTGAGGCGCAGTGTGATTCATTTTTAGTGAAATAAATATGAACCAATCACAAGTAATTTCATCTGAGATCATCAAAAAAGCATATTTGAAAAATGAATGTTCGAAAGACGTCGCCCTCATATTGTCGTTGGAACGAGAATTTGACTGGCGAATTATCACCAAATTAAATCTGAGTCTTTTAAATATAGTGCACATTGTTGGATTAAGGTTGGTTACAAATCTAGAATGTTTGACACTGTCACATAACAAAATCAAAAAAATCGAAAACCTAGATTGCCTCACGAAGCTAGTAGAACTTAACCTATCATATAACAGAATAACAACAATTGAAAATCTAGATCATTTAACAAAGTTAACTGTTTTAAGCTTGAGTGGCAACAATATTTCTGAATTAAAAAATTTGGACAACTGTTCACAGTTACAAGCATTTTACATAAGCCATAATGAGATAACCGACATTAATCAAATATTCTATTTGAAACGTTTCAAGTATTTACAGTGCATGGAGTTGTCAAACAATCCAGCTACTGATGGTAATAGACAACTAATTGTTGATCAATTTCCAAAGTTAATATATCTCGATCATAGACATATTACGGCTGAGGAACGCTCATTACCTATAGATACGAATGATGAATATAGTTTAGCAAGTTCAGAAGTATTGGGAGACTCGAACATTATACACAAAGCTTTTTTAAATGAAACAGATGGTATACAATTTTTTGATTATTTATACCATGAAGATGTTGAAGGTGAATTGCTGAGTAAATGGAACTCAACTGTTAAGGCGGCATTTGCCAAATATAAGAAACAAATTACTGATGGTGCAATGGAATTGTATAATACAAGTCTAGAAAAGTACTGTAATGTAATACCTACATAAAATGAAATATTTGAGTATAAATATTTTTACAGACTAACGGTGAGAGATGAGATGTTTTCCAAGTTTAAAATGAGTCATAACAGATTTGAAAGAAAATTGACTTATGAGAGCCGTGATATTTTAAAAGAGTTTGAAGAAATAAGAAGAATTAGGATGGATGATCCCGTAGAAGAGCAATCATATGATTTTGATTCAAATGAAAAAAGCATTGTACAGGGTTCTGATATAATTGACCATTTAAGTCAAAAATTTTCGATTGAAACTTTCATTGATGTTTACGAATACGAGAKWACTGTCTTGAAAAGAAAATTGCACGAAAAAAATATTTATATGAATAAATCTATCACGGATATGATAAGCAAATATACAAACTTTGTAGAAGAAGAACTTAAATTATTTTTGGAATTGTTGGTACCAATGTTTTTTAATTTGCGTGAAATTGTAAGCGACTACTCTGAAATATTGAATGAAAACATTAGGTTGGCAGTAAACAATCCAATAAAAGTAATACCAAAGGARTTCATTAATCAATTTGGAGATAGGTGAGAACTAATAATTGRAAAGAAAGATAACAAATTTAATTTAACTTTAACTTGRCATAGTCCATACTGTATCATAMTATTACGATTTAGATACTATAAAGTTCATTATTATATTATATGTATTACCATGCAAGTATTTTAAACACTTGTTATAGTTAGTAATCAATGATATAAAGGTACGATATATAAACATTAAAATTACAGTACGTATCTATAGGTTTGTATGGTTTGCATAAKTTGCTTGTATCAAAAACGTTTTACGATAATCAAAAATAAGATAAGAATACTGTTATATGATAAAAAATATATTTTTTTTAGTAATCAAATTGTTTTTAGATTCGCAATAAATGATGCTGCAATTAAAATGTCTGACAAACATATGGAAATGATATACAAGCGAGAAGAAAGACTAAGTTCTGATGCAAAAAAATGGGCTGAAAAATCAATTGAAGACTTAAAAAATTCTGAAAAGCAAAGATTTTGGATGGTATTTGAAGAAATAACAAAATATTGCGATAATGTATCATCTTGGCTTAAAGCATTAAAAAATCTATAATTCTCTGGAAAAATGTTATAACTAAGTTGGAATAWTTATTATCAAAAAAATAAAAGCAGGTAGGTACGAAAATGTAATTTTCCATATAATTTACACGTCTTAGATCAGTTTGGAAACTGAGTAAATGCTGTAAGCAAAATTATAGGTCTCATAAATAATGTTCACAATATTAAATAACTATTCTTCTTGAAAAAAAAATTTTTTTGTAGAAACTAAGTATGGCCGTTTATTCTAATAAATAAATAAATATGTTATACTGTTTTTGAGAAAATTGTCTAGTTTAAACAACAATAAACAGCATTAAGCGATTAAAAGTAGCAACCCTTTGCTACTGTTAGTTTTGCCCACATTGTAATCTGGTTAATGTATTCATGTTTTTCGTTTGAGTTAAAAAAAAAAAAAAACACAAACTGGGAATAATATAGCATAAATTAGGAATCATGTTGGTAAAATTGGACATGCCATATATGTATGACTAAATGTAGAAAATAAAATCCATACCTACGACCTCTGATAGTACCTATAATACCTGGCATGAAATCTATGGTAAAAAATTTAAAAATAATATATTATTTTTTATGAAAAAATTAGCTTGAAAGGTCTTATTCTGATTTAGTTAATTATCAGAGAATTWAAAAAATTAATTTTTTATTATTACCTATTCGGTTTGTTTCTTGGACTATTTACTTGTAGAATAATTTTAATTTTGATGAAATAAAAATATAATGCTAGAGAACAAGAGAAGTGTTGATAAAAATGTCTATGCTTGATAAAAATTGAATACGTGTTTTTCATAGAAAATACGAAGTAGAAATTATATAAGTACAATAATTGTTTGGTAAACGTTTCAAGTTGAGATGCTCTCAACAGCAGCCACAAGCTAAATAATTAAATTTGAAAAGTCTGTCATTGTTTTTTTTTTTAAGTTTAAAAAGAAATACAGCAATGAAATAAAATAATAAATTATGAACTCTGATAATACGCGTATAAACTAGTATCAACAGTTGTGTAGTTTTTTGGTAATAGTGAGTTTTTTTTTATTACAAATCGTTATATATAATATATTATTTGACAAATCTTGACTTTTTTAATATATTTAATACCTGMGTACTAAGTGTAACACAATATTGTGTGGATTATTCTTATTGTTTTTCTTATCATGTTTGCAAAATTCTTAAGATACAAATTTTCAACGAAATTAATAAATTAGAGGTCAAAAACAATTCAGATTTTTACTAGCTGTTTTCTAATCTTTAGCGCTAATTGTAAGTGGTTTAAATTTAAATTTCATTCACCTAGCGTTAGAGTGAAATTGAAACTGATATACACATTGCATTTGTCGTAACAACACACTTCCAGCAAAAAACACTATAATAAATCGAAATACCATTACAAAAACGCATTTGAAAACGTATCCGTAAACCTAGGTAATGTTGACGAAATAGATTGGATAGCGATTGAATCTTTGGAAACATAAAATAAAGAATAAAATATCTGGCTTATCACCAAAARAAAAACAATTTAGTTAGTAAATAAAATCTGATAAAACCAATTGATGGGTTCTTTCTGTTGAATATGYGAATAACAAATATAAATATAGTATACATACATAATATGATAGATGAACCATGAGTGAGTGGTGATCATTATTAAACTTTAAAACAATAAATTAAGTATCTACCTTTAAATCGTAAACGATACTTAGCTGAKCTCGATTTAGCCACGCTTGCTGGTACCTATACTTCGAAAATATATTGGCATTTATTGGTCCCACATTTAAAAACTACAAAACAATTTTCAATTTCATCCCTAAAAAAACTCTATTTAGGTAATATGTTCAATYTGTGAGAACAATCGGTAAATTAATTTTTTAAACATAAACATTTTCTTGGATCAAATTATTTCATGAAAATTCAGAAAAAATATTCGGCGCCGACCAAAATACTTATTTATTTTGTCACTAATTCGTATAAACAATATTTAGCCTATCTATATTATAATTATTTTCAAACATGATTCATTAATTCGAAAACAATATTATGACTGAAAAAAAACACATAACCTTAGAATTTAAGATTATGATATATGATAAAAAATTAATCAGGGTAAAAACTTAAAATGATTCAATGTTATTTAAATAGATTGTTGTCCAAATTTGTCTCCTCAATAGTCACCGTAGTCTAGGTTACATAAACTATGATGAACTTAAACTAATATTACATGGATTTTTATAGCTAATGGTCTGCAA